CAATTATGTCCTTTTCGGCCCGATTATAAACGTGACACCTACTGAACTCCTACTACCAATCGAGACTCACCGAGCCGCCAATCGCTCTCAGAAGCATTTCACAAAAAAAATGTGTCCGAATTATATCTTCCGCTAATTATCATTAAAGCAGTTTTCTTATTACATAATTTTTATTTCCACAAAACAAAATTTTCTTTTCAATGTATTATATGTGTTATATATAAAATAATATTTATAATAGTTTTAACAATAGAGAATTCTAACATAATAAGTACTATTATTAATTCATAAAACATAACACATATATTAAAAAGAAAATTTAATGTGTAAAAATAAAAATATTTAATATATAAAAACTGTTTTATAATAATTTGACAAAAGATATGATTATCTTCAAAATCAAGCCGAAAAGCAACTGCTTTTTCTTAATAATTGGTGTATGAACATATAAAGATATTTAATATTTGTTTTCTATAATATTTTAATATTACTGTATGTCAACATTATATATTCATCTAAGACATGTTATAATATTTCATTATAGAATTGATATTGATATTTTGTGATATTTCTATATTAATTATGCGTATTTAATGTACAAATGTATAAATATTCCTTATAGAAGCAGAAATAATTTGTCAATAAAACTATAATTGCATATCATATCAATATTTTTAATTCTCATTGTTAAAACGATCCTTATGACACCTTTATCACTTGTTATATCATGTCTGAACGCACGAAATGTCAGCTCTTTGATTAGCGGTTTTAATCGCTAATAATTTAAAGCTGTTATAGCTTCGACATTTTCATATTAGAATTTTCGTCTCATTTTTATGAATAAGTCATAAATATTTCAGTCGGTAGTTATGGAATATCGTGTATACTGAGACTTATTATTTGCAAATAAAATAATTAAAAACATAAAATACAAATATATGTTTATATGTCCATATACTACTCATTAAGCAATGTATTACAAACTAAATTATACCTCTCTTCCTTTCTTCGTCTCCTCTCTCTCTCTCTC